AAAAGAAAAACACGAGGCATTTAATTCTCTGAATCTGGCTTATCTGTTTTAAAATGCTGACCTCAATTTCCATCCATTTCACAACAAATGTCATAATTTTGTTTCCAATAGCTGAATAAGACACCATTTAGCACACAGGCTGCATCTTGCAGCATTCCACAGTTGACAGGTACATTATCAATTCTATTTCATGGCTATTAAGTACAGGGTTTGCTGTATATAAGAAATGTACCTCATTAACAAAATACACAGAGACTGTAAATGAAATGATAGAAGATGATGCACCAAGCAAATGAGACCTGAGAATAGGCTGTCCTAGTTTATTCAGCTATCTGACAACTTAGACAGCAAGCCAACATCAGTCAGAAGAGAAGAAAAAGGGTGTCGACATATTAATAAGGTAACAAAAATCCAATAACTATAAATGTATAAGCACTGAATGTTGGTGAAAACCATGCATAAAACAAATGCTGCTGAGCATAAAATGACACATGTCTGAGGTACAATAACGGTGTGTGAACTCAATATCCCACCTCAACAATGGGTGTATCGGCTAAGAAAAAAAAATCAAGGAAACTGTAGAGTTAAATTTCACCATACATCGAAATGAACCACAGACATCTGCATAAAAGGCCCTTCATCAGCTTCAAATTAAACATACTTCTCTACAGCATTATAACTTTTTTCAAAATAGACCACATTTTAGGCCAAAAAACAAATCTTAACAAATACACAATTACAATAACATATTAAGGATATTGAATAACACTGGGCTAAAGATGGAAATTGCAGAAGCTATACAAATACATGAAGATTAAATAATACCCTCGACTAATCAATGGACAAATGAAAAAAATCATGGGAGAAATTTAGAACTGTCAAATAATGTTAGATAAGTACAAATTTATAGCACACAAAGAATTCTTAGGAGCTAGTACATTTCTAGAAAGTGAAAGATCATGCTAGAATGTCTAGGGACCCATGGACACCACAACTTTGAACCTACATCTGAGCCAGGATAATAGTGAAATAGAGGCCTGTCTCAATCTACTGTCTCCAAAAATAATTACCCATGAGTGGGAGGAAGAGAAAGTCATCAGTAGACCCAGTCCATATGAAATTATAAGTTGTGTATTAAGGTACCGAATGAATGCAACATATTCAAAAAAAGAAATAAAAAACAAGATGCCTAAAAGCAGGCAGGCAAACACAGTTTTTAGGGCTTGGATGTGAGCCCTGGTGCTGGCATCTCTGGTATTGTGCTTCATCTTCTTCAGATGCTTCCACAGAGAGAAGAGCAGCAGGAGAAAGGCTGACAGGGACAGAGCAAGAGGGACACATATTACCATATAGTTGGTGAAGATAATATTGTTGACAATTCGTGAAGAAATATTCCAACTGGAACTGTGACACATGTTTCTTTGCAATTCACCATCCCAATCATCTATATATACATTTGTCAGTACCATGTATAATAACAAGAGGACCAGGGAAACCAGCATGATCACTGAAACCACCTTCTTAACTCTCCACTTTAAATAAAGAAAAATAGAGTTGGAAAAATTGGCTATCTTCAGAAAATAAAAGATGCTGAGGCACGTAGTAAGCCAGGTGTCAAAATGATTAGTCACAGTGAAGGTAATCTTAATCACTCTGATCACGTTTACAGCCATCAATAAACTCGGATGGACAATGGAAGCCAGCATAGTTATAAACACAGAGACCAACACTGTGATTCTGGAGATCGCCAGAGGAGTGAGGATTTGACTGACAGAAGAGATCTTTCTCCTCTTGACCCAGTCCATGATGTTCACCAGGGCTATGAATCCATTTCCTATAGTCCCAATAATGAATTCCACACTTAAAACCATTATAAAGAAAACTTGTGTGCCACGGATGCAATTCATTTTCTGGAAAAGAATGTTCCAATATTTAATGCACACATTTAAAAATGA